ATGTAAATTTTGTGTTAATTTTGAGTTACTAACCCTTTTTTTAGATCCTGCAATAGCCACATTTTGTGTTTGGCTTCCTTGGGTGGATGCAACATCTCTTGGCAGTTGACATTCAACAACTGCTAGTTGTTTGTTTTCTTACATGTCCTTATATTTTGTCCATATTCCAAGCAAGTCTTGCATCTGTGGCTTGTGTTTTTCCTTTGCCACCTTGTTTTACTTGCCTCATTTGGCTCTTTTCTTCTGAGTTTCTTTGGTCTACCTGGACCTCTCTTGTAACTTGGTGATAAGATGTTAGGGTTAGTAGTCCTTGGCCATTTGTTTTGGCCATTAATGAGACTGATAACTACATTGTAACATGATACATGAGTAGACTTATGGTAACAATTATGTACATACTTAATGGGATTATCTACCTTCCTATTTGTGACTGCAACAACATGTCTACATGGGATCTCAACTGTCATACAGCGGGAGAACTGACCCGGGATGTTTTACGCTTTATCGTAAATGTTGTGGATTGCAAGAGTCGCCACCGAATTTTCTGTCATCCAATAAAGGAAAGGGTGAAAAGAACAAGAAATACCTTTTGAGATATTTTCTTGGTTCGGGGGGTAAGTTATGAAAAGGGAAGGTGTTAGCACCCTTTTCATCCATAGTTATCTACGGGCTCTTAGTTGCTTGCTAGATCACTTTGAAAAATGCTTTGTTTGAAATGTGTTTGTGGTGGGTTTTTGAAAGTATTTTAAAAACGCCTTTGTTTCAGAAAACTTTGTAATGTTTCTCGTCTCTATAAAAATGTATACAAAGTCTTGGTTTTGAAAATAGTTTAAAGAGATGTTTGTTCCTGAAGGTGTTTTGAAAGTGTGAGTGCGGAAATAGTTTTAGTTTGTGAGCAAGAAACTACGAGCGTCCTACCTACTCAAAAGGTCTTTATTATTTTCCTCCTCCCTAAGATATTTCTACCTTACCATTGATTGGTAAGAAGCCCCATCATTAGATGTGAAGGGAAAGGCATGGGTCAATCGTATAGTCATAGAAGGCAACATATGAGATGTTTTAGCAATTTCCATAAGGGACTAAATCATTTACCGAAGGCAACATCAAGGGACATCTAGGGACTATGATATTTTTTATCGAGGGTCTTTGCTAAAACGCCCATATTCGAGGGACATGACTATTTTCCGAGGCAACACGTGAGGTTACCCTAGAGGTGCACGTGTGAATATTGTGTTTGATTGCATGCATTTTCATCTTTGAGATTAGGGTTTTCTAGGGGTTGATTTTATCTTGCCATACACACCCTAATTACTAACAATTTATATTAAAGCGGTAAATTGCAGAAATTAAAATCCTAAGATATTACATCATTAGGGGAGTGGAGTACAATTTACAAATGGGGATGAAGTAAAAACTTAAATATTACAACCATATCGAATAATAATGAAAACAATGTAAAAACAATGTAAAATAAAGGAAAAATTACATTTTGAATTGTTATGTGTCAACACATGCTGCTATGCATCAACATATAACTTTCCTTGCTACTGTAAAACCAAACCCACTCAGTATGAGTCGATGCATAATGGGATGTGTCGACTCATGCACCTATTTGTGTCGACACATATGGGTTTTGTATTGACTCATGCACCTTTCATCCTTCTATTTTGGGGCCTGGGTAACAGTATGAGTCAATGCATAAGGCCATGTGTCGATTCATACCCTGTTTTTTCCCTAGAATGATTCAACCCAAGTGGGTATGTGTCGACTCATGCTGCAGTTTTTTGCCTTAAACATTGTTTTATTGTCTGTACAGGTCAGTTTACAGCATATGATTGATAAACATAAACAACAAGCAAATGGTTAGCTCAAAGGGGCAATGATTACTACAATTTATCTTAGAAAATATATCATTAATGATGTATGAAAAAAATGCAAAGTCAAGAAGACTTACCTTGAGACTGCACTTGGTGTTTTAATATTGAATACTTTTCAAGATACTGTGATGGCTCCAATGAATCTCCAGGAAGCTGTTCCAAACTATTGAATCACACTAACTCGGTCAAGTTGTACATTACTGTTTTTTGTGTTTGGAGGGTAAAGATAATAGCAATACAAAAACTGTTCTTGTGTTTGAGCAATCTCTATGTGATAAGGTGTTTGGTTTATGGGAGAGTTTGTAAAATGGATTGAGGTTCTGCTTTTGTGACTGAGAATAAAGATGAGTATGAGCAAGGATCTTTTGTGAAATCAGCAGAGTTTACAAAGAATGCTATTTTTTTCTATTATCTCTTTTTCTCTCTAAAAGCCAACCTCCTCTGTGTGTTGTGAAAACAGTCTATTTGTAGATGAGTTTTGCTGGGATTTTGGGAGGGAAACAAATAACAATTTGAACAGTTTAGGTATGTTGTGTCATTGCCTTTTAGATGCGGCTCTCATATGCAAATTTGGTGCAAACATGAGACTGAGATAATGCAGGCTTGGATTGGGTTGGTAGTAGCATAACAGGGCTGTTTTGCAGTAGTTTTAGATTGTTGTGGAAGCTTGGTGCATGGCTGTTTTATAGTAGTACAACAGACTATTTTTGACATGATTTTAGGCTGTTATATGGACAACACAGCAGGCTTGGATTTGGCAGCATATAGGGCTTTGTTCAGTAGTAGTTTGGACATCATTGTTTGTAGCATGGCACTAGTTTAGTTTTGTGGGCAACATAGTGGCAGGCTTTAAGTCAAAGGGAAAAGTTCAACCAAGACAAAGTTTAGAATTTGTAATCTTGCAAAAATGCCACTTTGTAGTAACTTGAATTATTTGTAACATCTTGAATTATTTGTAACATCTTGAGTTATTTTGAATTGTAGTGAAAATATGTCATGAAGCAGTGGAATTAACAAGTATAAAAAATACTTAGAAAAATTTCCAAGTCTTGCAAAGTTGGATATTTGAATCTCTTGATTTTCTGATGATCAAATTTCATATTTTGGATGTCTTGATGAAGTGTGATTTTTTGGACTCAATTTTGGTTTAAAAGTCAAAGTTTGACCTTTTAGTGTACAATTGACTTTTTCTACCAGTTGACCGAATTTCGTCTATCAATCCACTGATCTCAGGAGATGAATTGGAATATGCGATTAGGTCAAAATGATGCGCTCGGATCCTTGAGATCATGCCTCCAACCAATAAGTTAGGTATTATGTCAACAATCAAGGTTCAGTCATTTCCAGTCAAAACCCTAATTTTGCCCATTTTGCCCTTTTGATAACTTGAATGGCTTTCTTGGAAAATTGTGATCCAAGACTTGAAAATTTGACAGAAGTAATCTTGAGGGTCCATAATGATCCATGAAAGTCATTTGAAACATTAGAAATCCAACAGCCTTCATACAAACTCAAACCATAATTTGAGGCATAAATGTTGAGGAGATTGTTTGACCTAGTCGATACTTGCGCAAACTTAAGTCATTAAAGATCTTTGTAGGAAATATCTTGAGAAATAAGAGGGCAAATTTTGGGGTACAACACCAACCAAGTCCCAAAAGTTACAAGAATAAGTATGTTTTTCCAAGTCTACAACATAACTATCTTTGAACATTACATGACTTACTTGAAATTTTAATCTACCTCCATATGTGGGCAGCCAATTAGTAGTTTTTATCTCCCTATATAACCTTCTAAGTGGTTTAGACATGATCTCTCCTTTGTAATTTTCTACCTTCTCCCTAAGATTGGCAAACCTACCCATAAGATAGTTCTTAATCCACTTAAACATGGTAGTTATAGGTTTATCCCTTTGCATCAAAATAGTAGCATTGAATGATTCACTTAGGTTGTTCATAAGAACATCACACTTAGAGTACAAGGGAAAGGCATGTTTACACCATTTATTCTTGGGAATAGAATTTCGCCATCCAAAAGCATTTGGACTTACCTCCTTAATCTGATTCTTCTTATCCTTGTGAGCTTCAAAATAGGTTGCCTATGCTGCAGTCATTATGAGATCTCTATATAGTGTACCACCTCAAAACTTCTTCTTGAAGTTAGCATATAAATGCCTTAAGAAAAACCAGTGTTCAAACTCAGGATGTTCTTCCTCAAATACATTCACCAGTCCCTACATATACATGAAAATGTAATCAACACGTAACATTAAACACTAAAATAACAAGTAACATTAAGAATACCTTTTGCTAATCAGACATGAAGCACCACCTACAATCAGAACCAATGTATTCAAGAAGTAACTTAACAAAGCAACTCCAAGAGTACCTAGTTTTATTCTCCATAACCCCAAAGGCAAGTGAAAGATACTGGTCATTGGCATCCCTACTGACAACTATCAACAAGATTCCACCATTTTTTTAGGTGACATCCATCTAATCCTATGAATGGTTTACATCCAACCTTCAATGCTTTCTTTGTACCATCAAAGCACATGTAGCACCTTTCAAACCTAGGTGGAAAACCAGACTTAAATGTGTTTCCTTTGGATGCCCTCCTCAATTTAGCTCCATATGACCATATCATACTATATTTCTTGGCTGAGTCCCCTTCAAGAACCTTTCTACCTAGCTTCCTTGCTTTGAAAGCCCTACATCCAGTAATTTCTGTAGCAAACCTCAATCTCACATCTGCTACAACTTCATTCAATTTCACACCTGAATTAATCTTCAACTTGTCAACAATCACTCTAGATACCCAATCAGCATTAGCATTCTTGTTGAATAACTTTCTTCCATATTTGTGATTTTGAAATAGAGTTTTGATCCCGAATGATGTTGTTCTCAAAACCCTGCCGCATAAAACTGTGTAATCACATTGTTGTTTGTCCTTACAAACAACCTTAGACATTGTCCCATCATTTTTGGAAAACCTAACCTCGCTACCATTCAACATATTGTGTTCCAGTACAGCCTTTTTAAATTGCATCAGAGAAGAAAATTCCATTCCCACCTTGAATTTAAATTCTTTTCTAAGGTTTTCATCTTCATTAAACCTTATCACTTAAGGCCTACCATCATCACTATCATCATTTGTCCCACTATCAAGCTCATATGTGATGTAATAATCATTAATTACATGTTCCTTATCCATCTCAACTGTAGTCATCCCTTTGTGTATCCCTTGACCATTATCCATTTGACATGTACCATCACCATTATCCACTCCACATGTACCGGCACCGTTATCCACTCCATTGTTTAACCCTTCACCTATGTCTTCATCAAAATCGTGAATCCTCTCCTCTTCACTATCTTCAAAGTGTATACCATCCAAAGAATCTTTAGATGATTCACTGTCCTCACCATCTTCATTTTCCTCAACATTAACATGACCTTTTTCTTTCTCTTTTAACCTCTCCATATAATTCTTCTCACACACTAGATAATTTTTCCTCTGTATATATCTTAACATCACACTAAGCCTCCTCAACGCACATAGATAACATTGTTGCACCCTCATCATTAACAAGGTATTTTAGATCATTTTCAAGTGAGCCATGTTCATACTTCCACCAGATTTTCACATTTTCAATTTTAAACAATGAATTTATACCCTTAATTAAGTCACATGCTTCAAAGTATGACCAGAAATCAGGGTCTTGCCCACATACAACATAAACATCCCCCCTTCATATCTTAACCTTTAATCCTTTACAAGTGATCCTTTGGTATAAAAGACAACCTTAAATAACCCTATTTCATACACATTTCAAGAAAAAACAAGGGAAATCAGACATTACCATCAAATTCAAACCAAAAATCCTATATTTTGGGACCAACAATTGGGGCATGGAACATACAATAAATACTCGAAATGAATAAACTATAGCAAGTAGAACTTACCTAATCATTGTTGGGACCGTAACAACCAGCTCAAGATTCTTCAATGTTGGGACCACAAGCATGGAGATACATGAATGCTTTTTTTTCAGAGAGGGACCACTATCGAAGGTGAACTAGGGGTTCTGAAGGAATCAGGATTGTGAAACACAAAGGGTTTTGAAACATGAGAAATGCCAATTAAGTTAATGAATTTCATCTCAGTAAAAAAATATTATTTAACCCACCTATCTTGCCACATAAGCAACCGTTAGTGAAATTTAACGTTAGGGACCAATTATTCTGACGGAAAATTTTGAAGGGACCATCTCTTGAAGGAAAATATTTGAGGGACTAAAAAAAAGTTTGAAATATTTAGAGGAACCAAAAACTTATTTAACCCAATTTTTTATAATATCCATAAGTGACATGCATGGTAAAATTTCTTAAATAATGTCTTAGAGAAAAATTAGAAACATTGTGTGATGATAAAATAGTGGTTAATTAGAGATCAAAGATTGTAAATAGAATTTTTAGACTTGATACACTGTTTAAACTTTGGGATTTGTCCTTTTTATATTGTTGTAGGTAGTTGTTGTGCATAAATAATTTAGATCAAACAACAGTTAATTGATTATGGAACTAAGTGTCTGATATTAAGTGTTCTACATTCCACCATTAGTAAGTAGTCATGATAAAAATAATATACTGCAACATATAAACACTGTTGTAAAATTCAACCGTGGTGAAAAATTAAATGTTTATTGGTTAATTCAATACCTAACAACAACATTTTTACATTTTCAAATGGAAAATCACTACATTACACCATATTTATAGCTTTCACCCATTGTGATATATATATTTGAGTTTATTATAAGTTATGTGGTATACTTATTCACAACTTCTCACTAGACATATTTTTTCAATTTGATTTAGAAAATAATAATACGGAAAATTAAGTTATATTAGAAGAACAAGTCACACTAATCAATAATTTTTGAGATTTCTGCAATTCATTATCTGTATCTCACTCTTTAAAAATTAGAACTTATTTCAATGCTTTTAATTCTTCAACAAACACTTGTTTCTCTACTAGTTCACTATGCAAATTATTAACTTTGCAGACATAACTAATAGAAAATAAAGTGATGGCCGAAGAACTAGAAGTATTGAACCAAGTTCTAACTATTAAAGAGCGAGATACGGATAATGCGTTGCATGAATCTTGAATATCAGCGATTAATGTAAGTTGTTTTTTAGTATAACTTAATTTTTCATCTTATTAATTTTCAATTCAATTTGAAAGACTATATATTCAGTGAGGGGTTGGTAAAACACTCAAACCATATATGATATAATAAACTTATCTTCTATGACTTGTTGGTTAAATAAAATAAAAGCTGCAATGTAGAAGAAATAACATTAGCAATGACACACCTCAACAAACACATAAACAATAACACAAAAATATATCAACAAAAAAAATACTTACCTAAAAAAACTATTTACCTCAATATAAACATCAACATAACTCAAGAAGAACATCTCCCAGAACACCACCAACAACTTTTATCAACAAAAATAACAATTTACTTTAACAAAACAACAACATACCTCAACAAAAACATCAACATACTATTTACTGGTGTTTTTAGTAAACAATAACGAGTTTAGTTCACTTAAGATATTAACTTGAAAAATATCGAGGACAATTTGTGCAGAAAAATCTAGGAGGTTGTGACACATATACTTCTTCTTATAATAGACCATTCAAAAATGTAGAATTCACATCCAGATGCATCTAAGGCTATTAACTGAGAATTTCGACTATATGAAAGTTGAGCTAAAATGATACATCTTAGAAGAAAGTTAGTTTGAAAGGAAACATGAAGGAGATTTTGTGAAGATTTCGATAGATAAAAATTTAGTAAAATTTCATTCGCTAAATGTTGGCGAAAGGTTCGTTTGTGAACCATTGGAACTTGATTTATTCAAAGTATTATCAGGATAAATACTTCGACCATCACGTCTGTATTATTTGGCGCTTCAAAGACAAGAAAGTTTTCAAATTTGAAAGTTTGCTCTTATCCAAAAAGACGCGTGGAAGCATAAGGTTCGAAGGCGCATGCAACAACGAACTCGTCATTGTTTCAGTATTGACTGTTAGGGTCAAAATAGTATAAATATGAATCTTTGCAATAGGATTCGTGTGTTCACATATTTGTACAAATTACTATAAATTACTCAAGGTACCAGTGTTCGAGAAACGAGTTGTGAGAATATACGTATGATTCACCAACTTTATGTTTATTTCCATTCATTTTCAATTGAAATTATATATGTTCCTTTTAAGTTTAAATAAAAAGTCTTTTACATACCAATCCTTTCTTTAAAGCATTGCATTATAACCTTCAAAGTAATAATCGAAATCAGAATTGTTTAAAAGATTCTGAATGCTATCAAAAGTATTCATTGTTTTCAAGAACAAAAGTTTGAATAAGAACACATGTCCTTAGGATCAATCTGGTTGATCCTACAAGTCACCAATCTTTTTCTTTAATTTGGAAAACCAATAGTTGTTTACCAAATTTCAAGGTAAACCAATTAACACGCTGATGAGTTCTAAATTGTTGTAAATTTAAGTGCGAATAATTATCATTCATCAGCTTAATTCGTTATCTTTTTGTCAATAAACCTCAACTTTAGTATATTTATAGTGTATATATTGCGTTATCGTGTAAATATCATTGAGTTTAATTGATTTTATCTCATTTTTGTAGGTGTCCAAGCATTGATATTTAGGAATTTCTATATAGATCATTGAATAAGCTTTCCAATGCTTCTTCCCGTGCATAAATCAGAGTTACAGTTCTTAAGTTATAGCGAAAATAAGTGCTGATTTTTTTTATGATAGCACAGAGCACACTAAGCGCCCGATTTGGGGCTAAGCGCGATCTGCGATTTTCAGACTAATTAAGTAGGTGAGAAAAATGTATTTTTTGGTTATGGTTTGGGTATTTTTAAGTCACAACAACATTTCCTTCATTTTTTGGTAGAGACATACTTAGAAACAATATTTAGAGGTTGCAATCGGATGATCCAAAGTCGAATTTCTCATCGATTGGTGTTGACAAACCAAGAAATGTTTGTTTCCTTTTATTCTCTTCTCTGTGTAATCTTTAATTGTTGGAGTTTGTATGTATATTTATCTTGATTATATGTACATTTATTGCTCACGGTGTTATATGAAATCTCTTTTACGAATTAATATCAGTGTTTGTTCTTGATTTTTTCTTTATCGTGGAGGTTTGGTTTGTCATAAACATGTGCTTTATGAATCTCTCTCTTGAATGAATAACTATTAGGTTCTACATTCTAGAAATAGATTAAGGATTAATATTCATGTGGGTATCGGTTATGAAAATCATCTGAATTGTTTAAGTTGCGCACGAAATCGCCTCAGAGAGTAATATGGGTGATGAATCACTTTGTGTTAGAAATAGCCTTAGTGTGAGCGATACGTGATGGTATTGACGAGTCGTTTAGGTTAAGTACAACTGGGTAGTGAGTTTGAGTATTTGATAGGGTAGATGAAATGTAAACCCGAGAGTTCTCTACTCTCTGAATTATGAATTCTTTTTGTGTTAATAACTTTAATTCCCACATTTACCTTTTATACAAACCAACCCAATTCAATCCCAAACTCATAAACGGGAGACTTGTCGAACGGAAAATTTCTCACGTTTATGAGTTTGGGGTTGAATTGGATTGGATTGTATAAAAGGTAAATGCGGGAATTAAAAGTTATTAACAAAAAAAGAATTTATTCTTCAAAAAGTGGAGATTCTCGGGATTGAATTTCACATATTCGTTAAAAACTTAAACTTACTACCCAGTTGCAATCAACCTAAATTACTTGTCAACACCATCACATACCACTCACGCAGAGGTTATCTCTAATGCAAAGCGATAAATCAATTGTATCACTCGCGGAGGCGATTTCGCGCATGCGACATCAAATAAATGGACCAAAATTGGAGACCAAACAACAAACAAAAACATTAGAAAATACTACTAATATGTACTCTATAAATAGATGAGATGAAAGTGGGAAAATGGCTGAGTGAAACAAAATTCCACAGGACAAATTGCAAACCGCACTTAGCCCGCAGGCCCGCGCTTAGCACGCTACAAAATTGATACCCACATGAATACTAAGCCTTAATCTATCTCTAGAATCAAAACCAAATAGATGTTCTTCCTAAATCCTGTAAGTGTTCGTTGGCAGCAATTTTGGTAAAACAATGTGCTGTTAATGTTTTACTAAATGTCTTGACATTTGTAGCAACCTGTTTTGAATGATGTAAAAGCAGATGTCTTGATATCTGCCTCCTAAACTGATCTCAGCCAACATCAGTATATGTTTCTCTGTTTCCTGATTTCCAACGCTCCATAATTCAAGATTTATAACTCACAAGAAGCGAAAAATATGGATGAATATTTTTCAAAATGCATGGATTTTATCTTGACCTGTTTTTA